CTTAACAGCTGGATCAGGATTCCTGCATTGGCCCTTCCCAGGACGCTGAGGCTGGAGGTGCTTCCTTCAGCCCACATGTGGAGGCAGACATCACGGAGCATCACTGGACGGTTTGAGTGGGTGTGGAGGGGGGATGCTGCACTCCAGAAGGTTCTTCTGTGGATGTGAACGTTGTCTTTATGTGCGAGCTGCTCTAATCTCCTTGTAGGACCTACTGTGTGACAACTGGATGAAGGGTCTGATTGATGAAGAAGCTCCATACCAGGCTAGCAGCCCTGTTAACAACCAGGTTTAGTTAATTGTGGTTAAATCTGGTGCCTCCAGAAATGTTTCACAGGGGTGGCCAGATTGGGCAATAAAAAACACTGAAAATAAAAGCCATAATTTCAGGGTTTGAATCCACTATTGTGGTAAACCTGCCTTTAGAAATCATGAAGATATAAGTAAACACCTACTCATATCTTGGTTTAGTGTGATTTTTTTGATGTTACGTCGCTGGCTGTGCATAATGGGATGAAATGCTGCTACAATGGAGAAGACGAAGGAGATCATCTTGGACTTCAGGAAGAACTACGCTCCACTGGTCATCAACAGCTCAGCTGTAGAGGTGGTCAGTAGCACCAAATTCCTGGGGGTGCACATCACCTGGAATGTAAACACGTCCTCACTGGTCAAAAGGGCACGGAAGCACTTGTACGTCTTGCAGAGGATGAGGAGAGCCCACCTGCCCCCACCCATCCTCCCCACCTTCTACAGCAGCATCATAGAGAGCGTTCTGAGCAGCTGTCTCACTGTGTGGTGTGGAGGCTGCAGCGCCTCAGACTGGAAGAAGGTGAGGAGAGTAGTAAGAAGAGCAGAGAGGATCATTGGGGCTCCTCTTCCCTCCATTAAAGACATTTCATCCCAGCTCTGCGTGTCATAAATGACCCCCTGACACCCCCAGCATGGACTGTTCTCCCTGCTGCCCTCTGGGAAGAGGCTTCGTAGCATCCGATGCAGGTCTATCAGATTCCAGAACAGTTTCTTCCCCACTGCCATGAGACTGCTGAATGTTTTGTAAAATGGTTTATTTTGTTTATATATATAAAAAATGTTAAAACTGTAAATATACAGCCATATGTTTATATTACTATTTTTTATGTATTTATCGCTGTTTTTCAAGGCTGCACTTGAAAAATGAAATTGTCTAGAGCTGTTTTAAATTAAATTTCTTTTTGTTTACACTGTATACAAAATGACAAAATAAATCTAAGTCAAATTGGTACAAAGTTTTCTATCTAAGGAAAACCAGTTAACTTGCATCGACTCATTGACTCAATAGCATTCCCTCATACTAAGCATGCTTGTAGTGACAGTGGAGAGGAAAAACTCCCTTTTAACAGGAAGAAACCTCCAGCAGAACCAGACTCAGTGAGAGCGGCCATCTGCTGAGGTTGACTAAGATTCAAGGAGACAGAAGCAGACATAGAGAAGCAGAGATACAAAAGGCAGCTGTCAACCAGCTCACAACCAGGCAGACGAGCTCTGAGCCAGCTCCCATGTCAGAGGATGGAGAGAGCACATCCAGCTAGTCAGACAGAAAAACAGGCCGATCTCCAACATCTATAAACAACGGTGTTGATGCCAGCAGAACAGCTGACATCTCTCTCCAGGATGGCGTTACAGCCAAACAGGAACAGATCAGATGAATCTACTATTGGAAAACAGTGATCTGTTCACAACACTCTCTCTATGATGTAGATGGAGGCGGCAGTATTGAAGGATTTATAGATTTGATGCTCCCAAAATCCTGTTCCGTGCATCTCTAACCAGAACTGTGCATTTGGCATTTAAAGGGTCGACCCACATATATAAGGACCAGTTCTTCTACTGCTGTGAATGCTAAACTAGCGTTAGCCTGGAGCATCGAGTTGAACAGAAAAGACTTCAGGACGCGACTGTATTTATGAATTATGTTTATAAAACAGCAACCAGCTTAGTAACTGCTGCACACTCACAGGATGCAATGAAATACAGTTTTCTGAGCTTTCTATCTGCCTCGTTAACATCTGCTAATCATAGGAGGCTAAGAAGCATTTTACCCACAGGGGGAAAAGCCTGAAGCCTCTGGTTTGGATCGCCTCGATGTGACCGCAGACGGGTCGCTTATGACTAACAAGAGCAGCAACCTTTTCATCCAAAGAACCACTAAATAAATAAAGAGCATCAAATGATTTTATAAATAGTGAATAATTCAGAAATAAATAATTTCTGTTTTATGAATTTAGAAGAAAAGCAAACATTTAACCTTTACAAGAAGAAAGCAAAGATTTTGTAGAATGAATGAAACAGAGTCAGCTGCTATAAACACACACAGGTCACACCTCCAGCTGCACTGGAAAGAATCAAAATCTAGTCAAAATATTTTTTTCTTAAAATGTGTGCACTTGTACTTGAATTGAGATGGTAAAAGACATTTTGCCAATGGAACAAGTCAACTTACATTTAAAATAAGAAAATCACAATTGCATTGTCTTATTTCAAGTGCATTTTTATATAAATATCTACTTTTAATAGTAAAAATACTCATTCCATTGGAAAATCTTCTTATTTACCTACTCAAATTAAGCGTAAATACACTTAATTTAAGAAATTTTTACTTATTTCTAGATAATTTGTGCAGTGTGAAAACAAACGCAAGGTCACCTTTGAAGCCTGGTATCACTGCTGCCCTGCTAGCGTAGATATTTTAAGCAGATATAACATACAGGACTTTACTGCCATATTGATAATCCAGACTTTTGCTTATTTGGTGTTGTTGGAGACAGGAGTGGCCAAAGGCTGAAGACCCCCCTGGCCTAGAGTCGACACCGTGGTGTGACCCGAGGATACCAGGGGTCCCCAGAGGATGTTCATCGACCTGAGCTAGCGAGTTCAGCCAATCAGAGGTCCCTTTGCAGACTTGAACTCTTTCAGACATTTCTGTTTTTATTCTGTTGTTTTATCCAAGCAGGAAGATTGCTGTAAAACCTGATGAGCCTCCAGAAGCTTCTGATCCTGATGTCACCTCCTGACCAGGTTCCAGACTAAACAGGCGTGTGAGATCAGCTCTAAAGGCCCAACTCTTCGTTGATCAAGGTCCTGATTGGACGACTCAACCTAAACCCGGTATCCACAGAAACAATAAGTTCCATTATTTATTTCCTCATCATAAATATACACTCTTCATTTAAATTTTGATTCCCGATGTCCATGTGATTTATGTCCACATGCTCAGACCCCGCCCACAGCGTCATAGCCAATGGCTGCGCAGGACTCCCAGCGTCAGCAGCTCTTCAGCGGTGCGCTGCAGAGAGACAGAAAGTCCTGTTTACAATTCATTCACAGATCATTGGGTCATTAGCTGAAGGCCCCCGGGCTGAACCAGCCGTTACCAATGGTAAATCTGAATGGACAGTCACACCTGTGATCAGTCTCAAGCTCCTCCCACCTGCCTTCTTCCTCCATTCAGGTGGGAAAATGTTTCCCTTTTTTCCACAGATCATCTTAATGAAGTTATGAGAGATTTAAAAAAAAACCTGAGGAAACATCTAACAGCCCACTGTATTTACTAGATCAGTGTTTTGGATGAAACAGCCTAATGTTCTGGTAGTCTGGTAGAACCGACTTTCTTAAAGGAGTGATTTGGTTCTGAGGAGGAAATAAAAACATCTGGCTGGTCCTAAAGGCTGCTGTGAACTGATGAGACTGGACTGGACCTCTCAGAACAGTGTGTCATGGTACATCAGAACAATTAACATCATTTTAGAACCAGAAAGTCATGGCTGCATTAAGCATGAAGGCAGTGGCGTAATGGTCTTGACTGCTTTGGGACCAGAAACACTGGTTCCCAGATCTTGTAGGAAAAAGTCCAACCATCAGGCCATTACCTTCAGCTTAAGCCGTCTTTGGTTCTACAGGAAAATTATCCGAAACAGAACCAGGTCAAAGGTAGTTGTTGGAGTGGCCTAGTCAAAGTCGGCTGGAGGACCTTAAAAAGCAGAACAGATAAGGTCCAAACTCTGTAGATGTCAGAAAACCAGCAGCTGTGGGGCGTGATTACTTTCCCTAAGCTAAGGCTGGTTGGAGGACTTTGAAGATCTGGAGCTCTGAGGGCCATGAAGACTTTTTACCATCAAAAAAGGTGACGGGTCGGGTGTTTAGCCCAGGCCTGCTGTCGTTTTCTCTCTGCAGCTCTGCAGACCTGTTTACCAAACATCTGTTTGCAGGTGAGAGTCTGAGAGCTGCAGCCAATGTGCTGCTGTGCAAGGCACCGGCAGCACTCCAGCGGTTAACAGCACAGAGGGAGAGTAAAAAGACGACGCCCACGAGGATTCAAAGAGCAGTTTGACAGTTTATTAACAGATTCAAAACAGGAGAAAAACATGTACACTGGTTCAGAACCTCTGACCCGCAAACAGACGGTAAAAAGAGTCCGACAGAAACAGCAGAGAGAAATCCACCTTCATCATCCTCGTCTGTCTAACAGTCAGTGTGTCCTACCTGTCCCACGGTCCACCGACTCAGGCTCAGGGCTTCCAAACACGGAGTGTGATGCTACGTTCAGACCGCACGCTGCTGAAGCAGCCGCTTTACATGCAAAGTCAAAGGGTGACGCCCCTCATCAAAAGGTCCGCTTCGAGCAGTAGGAGCAGTGCATCTTCACTGAAAAAAAAAATAATGCAACCTTTTTTGGCATATTTAGTTACTTTAACACATTTTTTTTATGTCCTACCCTGCTAACATGAAACAGTTGTGTTAAAGTAACTAAATATGACTAAGTAAATGCCAAAAAAACGGTTGCATTATTTTTTTCAGCAGCGGTGTGCTGATCCGACAGCAAAATAATATTTGAAGGTGGGGTCACAATCTTGATGAACTGAGTGCACAGATGTTTTTAATTGGACTTTCTCACTTAAAAACACATTTTACCCACTGATAACAGCAAATATAGCAAAGCCGCTCTCTGCCAAGTATTTGTTCAGTGGAGAAGCATCAGACGCATCTGGACACACTTTACTGAACGCGCTTCAGGAGCGTCAATGATGCACTTGAGGCGCGTCGGACCTTAATGTGGACAAACATCTAAAAAGAGGCGCTCTTTTTGCTGCTTCTAGCGCTTGCGGTCTGAACGTAGCATGAGAGGTCAGGCCATCGTCTGCACGAAACGTCTCTGACCAAGATCCAGGAGTTTGGAAATATTCTCAGGGATCAGAACCCAGAGACCCAATCAACAGGAAGCGGAGTCTACGGAGACCCGGACCGATGAATAAACTGGTGGGGGCCAATGGAAGAGCAGCTATGATAATGATGATAACGGCACACCTGGCATGCGACTCTGATCTCCACCGTGTTCTGGACCCCAGCCTCAGTCTGGACCTCGCTCAGTTTCACAGTTAAACATCGAACAGAACTTCAACAGAAAGTACAAATATTTTCAGTCAAAACGCAACAGGAAATGATGTCAGAGTCAGCATAGCCTGCTTGGGTCGGACCGAGCCGCCCCGCAGGGGGCGCCGCAGCATAGTCATAATAAAACCCTGGCTTCATAGAGACAGATGAATGATTAGTGTTTCTAACTGGCAGAGCTGTGATGTAATCATTATGTCACCTGTGTCAGCCAATCATAGCTCACAAAATCCTGATAAATCGATAAGTTAAAGGAACGACTCGACACAAAGATGACATAAGCCAACAGAATGAGCGGCAACGGAAATGCTGTGGAAGATACAAGCACCGCCCCCTGCCATCTGAGGCTCCTCCCACCTATCCACGGTCCATTAGTCTGGGTTTGGCTCCTCCCAGTTCATGTGTAGGGGGGGTGGGAACTCTTTTATAGGGGCAGGGCCTATGTTACGTCTCGAACTGCGTGAGAAGCGCACGGACCTCGGGGGTGAGCTGTTTGGCCGCGCTGGCGGCCTCAGCGATGGCGCGGCGGTATGGCCCCTTCCTCTTCTTGTCAAAGCGCGACTGAAATGTCTCAAGGAAGGGTGAGAGCTGAGAAAGCGGCAGAAAGGATGTGGTAGGGGAGCCGAACCAGGAGACGCGCGCCTCCTGCCGTACCGCCAGGCCTGTGTCACCGCGGCGAGCCACGGTGATACCCAGGACGCGTGCCGGCCACCAGGGGAAGCCGTAAATCTTTGCCCAGACGATGTCGCCGACACACACGGTGCGGCCGTCCGGCAATAAACACTTTGACACGGATTTGGAGAAGACAGATGAGGAGGATGAAGACGAGGAGGAGGAGGACGTGGACAACTTCCTACGTCGCTTTATGTCACCTCCATCCTCCTCATCCTCACCTTCGGCTGCAGGTGGAGCCGGGGATGAAGATGCGGGGCAGCAAGGGGCTGCCGTGGTGGAGGATGGAGGAGGCGCAGGGGCGGGGCCAGAGGAAGAGGACGCCGGCTCTCCAGGAGGAGGGACGTCATAAGTCTCTGTGGAGCTGCACTCTGAGTGGGAGGAGTCTAAGGAGTAAGAGGAGGACGAAGGCGGGGGAGGCTCCACCTCCTGCCAGCCAGCTCCTTCGTCCTCGTTCCTTTCTACGACAGTGGGGGCTGCACATGGGGGAGGAGGGGCTGTGGGAGGAGCTGTGGCAGGAGACGCAGGTGTGTGGACGGGGCTTGTGGCAGGTTTGGGCGATGCCTCGGAGGCGGAGCATGGGGCTGGCTCATCGGTACGGTACCTTTGAGGTTTGAGGCGCATTCTGGGCGGCAGTGGCGTGCTGATGTTGGTGCCGCTCAGGTGCTGCAGGCGACGAGTAAAGTGGACCTTCTGATTGTGGTTTTGCAGAGCGGCAGCCCGGGTCACTGCCTTTCTGTGGTCCTGGTTCTGGTCTTTGGGCCGGTGGTGCGGGGCCAACTTCTGGAGAACCTTGCGGGTGGTGGGGCGGTCCGAACTTTTTGTAAGAACCTTCTTAGAGTTTAACTTCAGGCGCATCCGGCTGGAGGAATCTGCTGAGGATGAGGATGGAACCACACCCCTCAGGACACGGCGGGAAGAGGAAGTCACCTGTGTCCCTGATGTACGCTTGTCAGCGGCAGAACGTCCTGACCTGTCGTCAATCCTCAGACGTTTCAACTCAGAGGACATTGGAACATCTGGTGGCCGCCGCCGACGTGACGCCTCCTCAGCCTTCAGCTCCACCACACCTCGCCGGGCCTCTCTGTGGCTCCCTGAAGCCACAACACCTTTACATTTGTCACACAGAACCTGCCGGGGGCGGAGCTTGATGGCGTTCATGATTGAAGTGGGCTCCTCGCAGCGGTAGCGACGCTTTGGGCGTTTGATCTTGCGTGGTGGCGGCTGAGGTAAGGCCTGGTTGTAAGTGTCTCTGATGAATAGAGGGGGAGGGTACGGCGCCCCGTCCTGGAACAGCGGCGGTGGCTTGGAGCCCCAGGGCTGGGGGTGGGAGGGGGCGACGGAAACAGCAGAAGCCTCTTCCTGGTTGGTGGTTGGCTTGTCGTCGGCGGCAATCGTCTGCAGAGGTGCTGGCGGACAGCTGCGGTCATCTCGTCTGGGAAAAGTGGTGATGGGTATACCGTAGGGTCCAAACCTGCAGACACACAGACGGAAACTTTCAGACGCTGATCATCAGCACTGCTCTAAAAAAAATGCTAGATGCTTTGGAACACAGCAGATCACGGTGGTTGGGTTCCTAACCATATGTTTAGCTTTAAACCATTCCACTGCAGCACAATGCATGCTGGGGATGCTCTGTTCAGACTCCTCTGGAATGTTTGTTCTATGATACACAAAGTATTTGGATTTCAAACAGATCTATAGAGATAATGAGCCAGATAAAAAAAAAAACAGATCTATAGAGATACACAGATTTAAAAAAACAGATCTAGAGATAGACAGATTTAAAAAACAGATCTATAGATACACAGATTTTAAAAAAAAAACAGATCTAGAGATAGACAGATTTAAAAAACAGATCTATAGATACACAGATTTTAAAAAAAAAACAGATCTAGAGATAGACAGATTTAAAAAACAGATCTATAGAGATAAAGAGCCAGATTTAAAAAACAGATCTATAGAGATAAAGAGCCAGATTTAAAAAAAACAGATCTATAGAGATAAAGAGCCAGATTTAAAAAAACAGATCTATAGGGATAAAGAGCCAGATAAAAAAAAACCAAACAGATCTATAGAGATAGACAGATTTAAAAAACAGATCTATAGAGATAAAGAGCCAGATTTAAAAAAACAGATATATAGAGATAAAGAGCCAGATAAAAAAAAAACAAACAGATCTATAGAGATAGACAGATTTAAAAAACAGATCTATAGAGATAAAGAGCCAGATTAAAAAATATCTATAAAGATTGTGCCTGATTGAAAAATAAAAAACAAAAAAAAACAAAAAAAAGACCTATAGAGATAAATAATCGTCTAGAAACAGAGCAGAGAGCTGTGGTTGGTTTACACTAGCGTACAAAATAACAAAATAAAATCTGTCCAAGTCTGATAAAGAGCCAGATTTTAAAAAGAAGATCTTTAAAGATTGTGCCTGATAAAAAAAACAAACAAAGAAAAAGATCTATACAGATAGAACCTAATAAAAAAAATAAAGTTTTACAGAGATAGAGGCTCCTTCCATGCTTGTTGTGTCCCCAGCATGGCTCCTGGCAAACATGATCTTTGTCTACAAGTCTCCACATAGCTCCAACCAGTGGATAGGAGCTGACAGCCCTATGTTCTGTTGCTAACTGTTAGCAAAGTTAGCCATGTGTCACACAGACATAACGAATCTCAGGCCTGATCTCAGCCAATAGGAGAGCAGTCGATACGGTGGTGTTTTATAGTCAGACTGTGCAGTTTAGGTATAAATCAAAATATGTTTGTTATCATGAGCAGAATTGATCATATTTTCTGCTGCATTAACACCAAGCACTAGCTAAGCTCATGAAGCATGTAGTTATCCAAACGCCCAACAGGAAGAACGGCTCTGAATGCAACACAGAGGAGAAACAGAGAGACGCGGAAACATTGTAATTCCGTACGCGTCACGAATATCAGCAACTCAGAGGGATTTTCTCCAGATGCAACATAGCGGTGAATTTCAAAACTAAAAACACTCAGACAGAAACTGGTTCATCCTAAAGACAGAACAGCCAAACCTCAGCTTAGTGGCGTTGTTGACGCATTCCAGTGCACCATGAACTGTACAGCCTCCTATACTGGAGAAACCAGACAACAACTAACAAACGCATGGAGCAGGATAGGAGAGCAAGAAAATCTGGGAAAATCTATCTGGACCTCAAGAAAGATAACACACCTTTAAAGACCAGATATTTGAAAAGCATCTGACTGGAGTTTGTTCAGGAGGATGGACCTCCATGCTGCTTAAATACACCAGAGCTCAAACCACAGATTGATCTGGTGGAGCCGACAGAATCAGACTCCTAGAGGGGCGAGGAAAACTTCAGAAAACTAAGTAAAAGTCTGGCTGACTCCAATTGAAGCCTGTTTTTTGGTTGCCATGATCTAGATGACAGTTTAGACGGGTATAAATGGGGAAACTTGAAAAATCAAGAGAAAAAAGATTCAGTCATGCTACAGATATCTCCACTTCCACAGAGCGCAATAAGGACGATTTTCTATGAAGAACCAAGCCTAGATCTATAGAGATAGATAAATAAAAACAGATTTATTGATAGCATGGCGTCATATGTCGCTACTACAGGAATGGTAAAAAAAACTGCATAGTAACGACTTGCTTGTACTATAAATTGGTGTTCCAATGACTGAAATTCACTTATATGCTTTTTTTTTTTTGGAGGGGGGGTTAATAGTTAATGACTACAGGTTTATGTTCTAATCATACCTCAGATTAATTGTTTCTTTCATTTTTCTACCAATTGTCTTCCAAGCTGTTGCTTCAGCGGCTCTATCTGGCATTATCTCTTGTTTTCTTAACTTTACTGTGGGGTTTAAGAAGGAACATATTTTTTTTATTTTTTAGGCTGGAAAAAACTTTTAAGGTTTCCTGTGCAGCTTAATATATTCTTACCTCAGATCAATGCATATATATGCTAAATATCTTCTAAATAAATAGAAACCCATTTATTCATCTTCACGCTGCACTTTAGGATGGTGGATAGTTTTTGGCCATAACATTATGCTGAATCTGCCTCACGTTTCCTTTTCACTGCTGCAGTGGGAGAAACACTGTCAGGATTACCGTATAGAGATAGAGCAGGATATAAGAAACAGAGCTATAAAGATAGAGCCAGATAAAAAAAATAGATCTATACAGATAGAACTAGATAAAAAAAATCTATAGAGATAGAGCATGATATAACAGATCTATACAGAGAGAAAGATAAAAGGGTCTAGAGATAGCACCAGATTTTAAAACAGATCTATAGATATAATGCCTAATAAAAGAAACAGATCTATAGAGATAGAACGAGATTTATAAACAGATTTAGTGCAATATAAGAAATAGATATATAGATAGAGCCAGATAAAAGATTGATAGAATTCTATAGAGATAGAATCAGATGTAAAAACAGAACTACATTTATAGAGATACAACCGATTAAAAAAATAAAAATCAAAAACAGATCTATGGAGATAGATTGCGATACAAGAAACAGATCTATAGAGAGAGCTAGATAAAAACCGATCTAGAGATAGAGACAGATTCATAGAAACAAATATATAGAGTTGGTGCCAGATGAAAAAGAAACAGATCTATTTAAATAGAGCCTGATAAAATACACAGATTTATAGAGATGGCGAAAGATAATAAAGAAAGATCTATAGAGATAGAACCTGATAAACATGAAACAGACCTATAGAGATAGAAGCAGATTAAAAATAAACAGATCTATAGAAATGGAACCAGATGAACTTTTACTCTTGGGCTGAAGCCCCAAAGGTCTCTGGTTCCAGTTTAAGAATGAACCAAAGTCAAAGACAGAGAGAAGGAACCAGAATGAAAAGATGTTACCTCTGAAGGATGAGAAGCTTTTCTACAAAGACCAGTTCTAGAATCGCTGTGAACCACACTGACTGGTACTGACCCGGTTTTACTGAACCAGTCCGACCTCAACTGGGCTGAACTATTTGGCGATACCGGATACTGACTGAAGACGTCATCATTGCTAATAACATGTGGACCCAGATATGGATCCTGGCAACCATAGAACAGAAGTGCCTAGATCTCTAGAACCACTGCCAGAAAGAACTGGACCAGAACCGTTCCTCTGAAACCCGAACCAGTCTCTACACTGAAATGATCCTAGAGGACTGACAAAACCCAGAGAAACACTCTGATTATGGTACCAGAACTTTCTGTTACCGGAACCTGCTGGACTCCACCGATTCCCTAAAGTTGGAGTTGGACTTTTCAAAGATCCAAACTAAGTTCTGGAACCACAGGCCCGGTTTCCAGAAGTTCACAGAGGAAGCTGAGATCACCAGAACCACCGGGATCAGCCAGCAAGGGGAACGATGGATGAAGGAACCCAGAGCTGAACCCATCAGAACCATCTGGACTGGGCTCTGAGTTCTGATAGCAGCTGGATCCAAACTGTTCAGAACCAACCACTGACTGCAGGTCAAAGATCAGAACCAGATACCCCTACTGTGACTCGGTTTGCGGTCCAGAACCATCTGTAAGTGCTGGAGATTGGAAAGATCTGGGCTCAACTGGTACCTTTTGGACACGTCCATCAGAACCCCTGAGAAGACCTGCTCCCCCAGGCGGAACGACACCACCAGCGCGTCATCGATCACGTGCTCCAGGCTGACTCGGACCTCGGTACCAGGACTTAGGTCCAGCACAGAACTCGGTACCGATCCAGGGCAGTCTTCGTGTTTAGAGCCTGCTGATGTCTTACAGAACTTGGCAGCTGGTTCCGGAACCCCTTCCGAACCAGATTCCTGCTTAGGTCGGGATCCAAGTTCTTCCTGATCCAAAATGGTGTAGCACCGGTCCAGTTCGGTGGTCTCAGTAGGTTCTGCCGGTTCAGCCAAAGAAAGCCCGGCCTCAGAGACCGGAGCAGGGTCCGGAACCGAGTGCAGGAAAACCGCAGGGGGCTGCGGGTCCAAAGGGATGGTTCGATAGCTGCTGGTACCGTCTGAGTTCGGCAGTCCCAGAAAGACCCGTTCAGAGCCGCTGCAGTCCACAGGGAGCTCCGAAAGCTCCGAGCTCGGGGCTTGGTTCGGGGGTACGCTACTCCGGTCCGGTACATCATCAGAGGTCCCACTACGGTCCAGCTGACCCTCGGAGGTTCTGTCCGTCCCGGGTAAATCCGGTCCCGCCCCGGGCTTCTGCTCCGGACCAACATGGCGGCCCTCCGCAAATTCTCCGTTCTCTGGATTCCCACTCGAACCGGATTCTGGAGCACAGCTGGGCTCCGCTGGGACCTGGTGGCGTCCGGTGCTGTCCAGGCCCGGTTCTGGCGGATTCTCGGACCGTGCTGTGGTCGGAACCACTGCTCCTGCCTCAGCAGCCACGGCCGCCATTTTGTTTCGCTGATCTACTGAGTGGCGGTGAAGCCCCGCCTTCCTGCTCCGCGGCCTCCTGCCAAGGGCTCCTCTGATTGGCCCGAATCGCTGTCAATTAATGAGAGCCATCAGAATGACGTCCATGATTGGCTGATTCAGTCAGACTCGGTGGCTCCGCATCGTTTGTCAGCCGGTGAAGCCTGCGGCCAAGTGGTCGGAGCTTCCCTCCCTGAAACCCACCGAGAGCTCGAGCGGGTCACGTGACCTTTGGTCCAAGTAGAGCAGTTTTGTTTATTTTTGTTTTTTGTTGTTTTATCTTTATTTCAATTAAAGAATAAACAAGTGCAACAAAAATGTAAAAAATAACAAATTGCTAGGGGGTATGCCACAATAAATAAGTATTTAAAGTCAGGAGAAAAGAAAGAATAAAATGATAAACATGTCAGATACCTATATATACCGGTATTCTACTAAACATATCTTCTAAAACTTGTCCAGAATTTTGAGTTGGGAACAGATTGATCTGGCTTTTTTTTTTGCCTTTTGGCGAGTGGAGGATCAAATAGCACAAAATATTGCTTAAGTTCAGTTAAGTAAACAATGAAATCTGGCCTTTTATTTAGATAGATATTTGTACTTATGCTAATGATAATTAAGAGATTGACAAGGAAGATTTTGGGATAAATTTTACTTTGCAACTGAAAACCAAATAGAATATTTTCGCCTAGAACTTGAATATCTTTTAATATATTTTAATCCACATAGTTACAAAGGTGTGGCCTGAAAGTCTTAGCATATGAACACAATCAGAACAAATGTGTAACAGATTCTGGATGAAGATCACCAAAAGTGCAGTTCACAATCATTTTAGAATTGAACTTTTTAAGGTAGTCTATGGCAGGATGGATCCTCTGAGTGAGTTTGTATGAAAGTTCCTTCACCTTTTTAATGAGAAAAGAGTAATAAGGTAAGAACCAAGTATGTTTCCATGACACATCAGTCACAAAGCGGTTCCAGTATGCTACAACAGCAGCACTTCTCTCTGAAAGAGGGATCTGATTGATTTATTCTTCTTACGAAGGGACGAGGTGAGACAAATTCTGCCAACAGGAGAGTCCATGGGAATCAGAGTAGGAGATGAAGATGATTTGAGTCTTGGCCTCTGTTTGATTAACATACAAATCCCAGTCAGAAAATAGATTTAAAAGCCTTGTATTCTCCAGAAGAGATAGGAAGGTTGAAATTAGAGAGAAACCCCTCATAATTCAATAAACAAACAGTTGATCAAGCAGAATAATCTTATGACTCCAAAAAAAAGTTTATGTTCTTGTACAGGATGTCCTCATTGTTCCAAATGAAATACAGATGAGGTGAAAAGTGCTTGTAAATAAGTGACCATGATAGAAAAGCCTGGCGATGAAAACGAGACAACAAGACAAAAAGGCTAATACCGCAATTTTTGAAAAAAATGTGATGAGGGATAATTTTCCATATAGAAGTCTGAGATGTAAACAAAAAAAGGCAAATCTTAATCTTATCTTTTAAGTGTTCTTTAAGGTAGTTTAGTTTAGTTTATTTAGGATCCCCATTAGCTGTAGCAAGCTACAGCTATTCTTCCTGGGGCCCAACAACAAAACATGAAATAAAAAATTACAAATGAAATAAAATTATGTGGACATTAAAACAACATCTCCCATAGTCTATACATATACATATATACATACACACATATACACATACATATAAACATATATACATACACAGAAACAATCCAAACTAATCAAAACAAACTACAAAGGTAGAGACAGAAAGAAGTTAAGCCCCTTGATTTTCATATGAGTTAATTAAAATAGATTTTCGAATGTAATGGGTCCCACTCTTCCAAACAAAGTTAAAGAGCAATTTCTCATTTTCTTTTTCAGCATTTTTGTCCAAATCTAAATCCTGAGCCGCATAAGTTAACCTTCAGCCTTGCTAAAATACGAGCCAGAGGTCCCTTAATAAGCAATGCTTACATCTTTTTTTTACCTTTTAGATTAGAGAATCAAAATGTAATAACCTTTGATATTTTAGTTCTTTTTTATGGTTTTATCTAAATAAACATCCTCATTTTTAACTGTAATGCCTTTAATTGATGTCTCTGCAATCTTTAAATAATCTCACATTTTGAAGATTCAAATGCAAACCAGAAGCCTTTTTAGAAATTATTCATTACTTGGATCACTAGAGAAATTAGATTTTTGTCCTTTAAGAACAGGGCAGAGTCAACAGCCAGTTCTTTTCCAGCGGCAGTTAAACATTTCAGAGGACTGGTTTCAATATGATCAGCTAGAAGTTGAGCTACCAGAAGAAACAGGTAGGGGAGGGACAGAGCACCCCTGTCTGATTCCTCTGCAAATGTTAAATCTAGGAGGAGCCATTCATTCATTTGATAGAGCTTTTGTTGTTTACATAAAGAGCTTTCCAAATCCAAACTCTTCTACACTTCGAAATATAAAACCTTATTCTAAAGAGTCAAAAGCCTTATAGAAGTCAAAAAACAAAATGAATCCATCATCAGAAACAAAATCAGGGTAATCTAAGATATCAATCAATTAATCTTGTAAAGCTGACCTGCTTCTGCCCCAAATGGATGTCTCAACCTTTATTAGTCCTCTGCACACTGTCATACTTCCTCCCACTCTTTTCAGAGTCCCACTCCCGCTGCCACTGGCCCATTGTCTAGCGCAGAGGTCTCCAACAGGGGGTCCATGACCCCTAGGGGGTCCACTGAGGTACTGCATGGGGGTCGCGAAAGTTTTTTTTATATATATATTCCTCCCTGCAGTTTTTTCCACTAATTGAAATGTCTTTAAATCCACATTATCATGAATTCAACACACTGTAGTAAACAGATCAATGGAGGCAGAAGATGTCTTTCCGTCATCAATGCACACATTCAGCGACACACAGGAGCTCTTTCACCTGGGGCACCGTTTCATTTACAACACCTGTCCCATCAACCAGGAATCAGAATCAGAAATACTTTAATAATCCCAGGGACAGAGATGGGAAGTAACGAAGTACAAATACTTCGTTACTGTACTCAAGTAGATTTTTCTGATATTTTTACTTTACTTTACTACTTATTTTTATGGCCACTTTTTACTTCTACTCCTTACATTTTTACACAAATATCTGTACTTTCTACTCCTTACATTTTTAAAAATTGGCTCGTTACTTGAGTTTGGAATCATTTCAATGGAGTTACCGTTATTATTTTTCACGTCATCAATACCAAATTCAATCTAATTGGATGGGAATCTACGTTGCATTTGACGCACCACTACAAGATGAATCGACAGATTCGGCGGTATTCATTGGCGGCAAATCATTGCAGCTTGGTGGCGGTGGCGTTAGCATAGTAGCATGGACGACGAGATGATTGAAAATGAACACAACGGAGATCTAGTCCTATTGGCAGACATCCATTTAAAATGTAGGCAACGGCATGAAAAAAGTGGTTTCTACTTTTACTTTTATACTTTAAGTAAATTTACAAGCCTGTACTTTGTTACTTTTACTTGAGTAAAGAAGTTTAATCAGTACTTCCACTTTTACCAGAGTATTTTTTAACACAAGTATCTGTACTTTTACTCAAGTACGGAAAGTGAGTACTTTTGCCATCTCTGCCCAGGGAGAAATTACTTTCCTTACATTACTCCATCTGTAATAGAGTGGCTATATAACACAATTTCATACAATATATATAATTAGGGGGTCCATGGCCTGGAAAACATTGAGGACCCCTAGCGGGTTACCACGATATCCTGAAAAAGTACTGTGAGTGTGCAAGCAGACCTTCAGAATAAACTTGGTATAAAAACAGCAGAGATAAATGCAAAATAGATTTTTCAACAAAGGAGATTTCATCCTATAGTCTTTACCCGAGATGAAACTGTTTCACCGAGGAGTCACCGACTCTATCAGCAGGGATGCACATCATTCATTGATGAATGAGGGCACCCCGTCCCTCTGTTCTAAACCAGACTGCAGCTGCGCACTTCTCCAGCAGAGGTCAATCTAAATGACGCTCAAGTGCTTCAATGCAACAAGTGTTCTTGTTGTGGGAAAGTGTTCCACCCTCCCCACTCTGTGCACCAGGTGTAGCAAGTAGCAAGCCGTTGATTGGCGGGAGGTGCAGATGGCTTCATAGCGGAGCAGGCCTCTGCGAGGTGCATGAGTCTTTGTTTCCCCTACATGTCGGCTGCCTAAGTTGCTGGTGTGCTTGATCCACTCATCTAAAAACGTAAGTACCATCTGTGGCTGGGATTGGGGTTGGCCTTTGGTGCTATGCCTGCTGTGTGTTTCTGCAGCATTGCTGTGCTGGTGTTGGCGGCTGCAGCGAGAGGTTGTTGTGGCGAGCGGCTTCCATCTAGTCCTCACCTGCTAGTCCGCCTTCTCGCTGGATAGGCTGTGTTTCCACTCCTGGGGTTGCCTTGGAGCTGCAGCGCTTTGAACGCTCTGCTGTCTTGTTTTGACGGTGTGTTTGGGCAGCTCTCAACAAAACCAGTTGCTGCTTGGACAGGCTGAGCGAGCGGGGCATAACTCCTCTGGCCCCATTGAAAGGCATATGATATTGGACAGTGACAATTTGTTCCATTGTTTGAAGTACTTGTTTTATTTCCTTTTACCCTTTGCTTATTATTGAAATTACTACTTTGTTTCCTTTTGCATTGCATGTTTTGTTCATTTATGTTTTTGGAATAAGTTAAATTGCCCTTATTTCCAATGAGCCCTTTTCTTTCCAGAGACTGAGTAAAACATTTCTTTAAAAGAAATGTTTTAAAGAAATGTTTTTTATTTTTATGAATTTGTTTAATAAAGTATTGTGGACAATTCTGTGTTCTGGTGCATCTTGCTTGAAAAGTTCCCCCCTTTGCAGGCCACATTCTGTTTTTGTTTCTGCTTACGTCTGCAGAGGCACACAGTGCTGCAGGGTGTTCCTGATCTGAGGAACATCATCATGGACGGAGAAAATCTTCCATTGTGTTCGAAGTTTTAACTCATTTTTAATGCAGGATTAGCGACCATGCTAACTGCCCCATCTTCAGACAGCACACATGGTCTGAGAACCACAAAAGAAGAAATCACTCACACAGGTCATTAACAGCTTTATTAAAAGGCTGACAATAGTTTCAACCAGTAATTGATGATCAACAATCAGTTTGTCACATTCAGTTTATTAATCTTTTAAGTCTAGACATTAAACATGATTCATTATTTTAGCTCGTATTCTTCAGATTAATCTGTAATCCATCACCTGTTCATTGATTACAGATTGGATTGTAAGGTTCAAATTGTCAAACTGTCTGATTGGTTGATGTTCAGCTGTCTTTGGTGCTGACTCTGATGTCGAATCCTCTGATTGGTTAGAGAGCATTGAGGCCAGTACCTTCTTTTTCTTTTATTCCTTTTAAAGACACGCCGTCCTCCGTGGCCACGCCCTCTTTCAGAGCCACACCGTCGTCCAGGTGGGAGCTACTGGCAGAGTAATTGAAAATACTGGTCAGTGTTGTTGGAAACCTTACTTTGACAAACTACCTCAGTGTAGCAAACAATTACCGACAGTGGTGGACGAAGTACTCAACTGTAGTACTTGAGTAAAAGTGTTGATACTCATAGACAAATCTAGTACAATTTTTGAAAATTCTAATACTAAGTATTAAAAAGTGCAAACATTAAAAAGCACTTCAGTATTCAAAGATGCAAATGAAATGTTCTAATATCAGTATATTTCTGTATAATTTTCAGAGTAATTGAAATAACTTTAACTTTCAGAAACCACCTGATGGATTAATGCATAGAAGCTCTGCTGCAAATTCTACAACACTGGTAAAGAACTTCAGCATAAAAATGGCACATAAAGGTGAAACCTTTTACTATAGAATACAGGTTTATGATTTCATTTAATACCACACACAAACCGCACTCAATCCCTTAATAAAATGTATTAACTATAAATATCTGCCCTGATTTTTTTGACATTTGAGGAATGTCATGCAAAACTCTAAAGCAGTGATGTCTAGATTCAGTCCTAAGGGCTGCTGTCCGCCATGTTGACATTGCATTTTTACAAAGAAAAACAGCAATGAGCCAAAAGGAACAAGTAAGACAAGTAGAAATACAGTGGAGTAGAAAGTACAATATGATTTTGAAATGTTGTGGAGTGAAAGTTATAAGTTGTCGTCCCCCAAAATCTTTCCTTGAAAAAGTATCTTTACCTGAAAAAAATCAAGTAAAGATACTCAAAAATAGTAAAATAGTACTTAAGTACATGAATCAAGTAGATGTAATCTGTTACTTGCCAACACTGATTACTGAAAAGTACCCGACCTATCAGACTAATAGTAATCAGGCAAAGTAAGGAGTTAATTTCCTGATCTAAAAGTTTGATGAATCTGGATGATTTTAGTGTTATTTACAGGTATAGTGGAGAGTTCTTGAGAATAAAAATAATAGGGAACATATATTAAACGAGTGCGAGAGCACAAGCTCATTTCTCCTCGTGCACGCTCTGTTTAAAAGTTGCTGTTTGCATCGCTCATACAAGCTTTCTTGCCAAAAGGAGATTTGCAATTTTTCCACCATGTCAGACTCACCACCGGTGAGTGAAAATGGGGACGAGCACATAGGACGGCCTTTAGTAAACATATCACCAGAATGATTGGCAATTAGGAAGACCATTTATGTTGATGATCAACCCGGAAAAATAACATCCTCCACTAAACCTTTAATTCCAACAATTCAATAATAGAATATTAAAAGTTCATTCACTCGTTTCCTGACCTCAGAGGAAGATAGTGTGGATGCTTCCAGTTTAGGAACATATTCATTGAACCCATGTGATTCTCCTCCAATGCTCAGTCTCTCCCGCTGTTTGTCTCAGCATAGAAACCCATAATAAAGGCTAGATGTTTTATGATGGTATTTCTATTATCAGCAGTGGCCATCTTTTCCCAGGAAACCTTTGTGGCAAACTATGTGGTCCCTAATGTAAGGTGAGTGATCAGCCCGTAAACAGCTTCTCTGATCTTGTTAAAATCTTGAAAAACAGTTCAGTTTCATACAAATGTTAACATTTACAAATTTTCTTTTTTCTTAAACTTAATCATTCAGTATAGTTGTATAGTTTATGCACGTTATCAAAGTAGAAACCACAAATATTTTATTATTAATCATGATATATACACACGGTGTATGTACTCCTATTTTAGAATGAGAGTGCGGACCAGTTTCAGCTTTTAACCTTTGGAGTGAGGACATTTAGCTTTCCTCACAAGATATTCTGCTAATGGTTAGCTTTAGGGTTAAGGGGTCAGTTGGGTTAGGGTGAGGTATACACTGGTAATGGTTAGGCTTATCTTTAGAGGCCTGAAAAACAATGGGAGTCAACACATGATCCTTATTACATATAGCAAGACAAGTGTGTGGGTGAATATTTAGGGCTGTAGAATGTTGTTTGCATTGAAAATGAAAGTTTGTGTTTACATTATATGTATGTGTACAATATACATCATTCATCTATACATTGAGTCTTTATACTTTAGATTTATAGTAGTATGATATCCAGGCAAATATCATTTATTACACATGCATTGATGTGTATTTATATATTAATAATGATTAATAACATTACACTCATTTAGTTTGGAAACAAAAGCTTTTAATCTGGATGTGATTAATTGTTAACAGCCATAAAATACACACACACAAACTTGTCTCTCCATCTTTTTGGGTCCTTTCCATTGATTTCAGTTTAGTTCTACAGCCTAACTGTGACCCCTGACCCTGCCCAATACAGATTTAAGGGTGTACAAGAAAAAGCAAGTACAAAGGTTCCCGTTTGGGATTTTAATATGTGAAAAAGAAAATGCAGTTAAGTGCATTAATATTTCCAACATGTTAAAATGTTTCCAACTAATGAATACGTTAAAGTCCTGGCCCATTATTGTCATTCTGTACACTGAGTTTTAATAGCCTATGTAATGATTTAACAAAAGTATCTTGTGGTTGCATATATTATATAAGGTCATGGTTCTAATTATCAAAATATGTGCAGTGACTACACCTCTGACATTTATAAATTTTTTTTAAATGGTAAAAAATAGATTAAGTTATTGTTAATATAATGTTACCAGTGATGGAGCTGCCTGTTACAAGATGCCCGCCTGGTGTTCCCCTTGACCTCCAGCAGGGCAGACGAAACATTTAGCCTTTATTATGGATATTTATGTCTTTGTCTGAACGTCTGCCCTAACCACTAGATCCCTCAATCACTATATAAAGGCGGGAATATATTGTGGACTTTATAGTGAACTCAGTTAACTGTTAACTGTACAGATGATTACAACTTTTGGCTCCTCGTTGGTCACATAACTCCGCCTTGGCGCTTGCATGCACCATCTTTGTTATCTGATGTTGCTACCCGACAGCAGGGCGCTGTCACAACGTATCTCATGATGCTTTATGAGGAGAGCACTTGCGAAGCATTCCGGGATATATCTGCTTGGTTAGTGACCACTTCAAGGTGCATTGTTGGAAATTTTGAGTCCACTAGATTGAGTTCATCCCCAAGATGTTCACTCATTTAAAAAGGCGTGACCAATATAGTGCTCTAAATAGTGATTAGAGCGGACATTCAGACCCAGCCCATGGTTGTCAATCTGTGTAATGAAGACCCTCCTAGCTTTGTCTCTTTAACCAATCAGCATCATACAGTTGCAGCCATTCAAAATAGCCCTTCCCAGTCAAAAGCCAGCTGAATGGTAGCCCACCTCCCTTCAACTCCCAGCAAAATCCCCTCCAACTTCCAGCTACTGGAGTGGGCCCCTCTTGCATATTTTTTTGCTCTGACTCCCCTCTTTCATTGAATTACAGGGTCTGACCAGAAGATGACGCTTCTCTTTAGACCTTAATGTCCACAAATCATGACAGAAAGAATATTTTAGTAGAAATATTTATGTTTGAAAAGGAATTGTAGGGGACCAGCCAAGGGCCCTTCAAGGAAAGTGGGAAAATTTTGAATGGCTACTACTGTACAGTATATGCCTCAAACTTATCAACTTTCTCTAGAAACAGAAAGTAGTCCTCTCCTTCAAAGATCCTGAATAGTTGCCCTAGTCCAGTAGTTCCCAGAATTTTCCTGCATCTCCCATCCATCCAGCCACCATTGGATTACAGCAAAAAATACCTGAGGAGCAACTCAATGCTTTGGGTCAGCAACTCACCTGTTTTCCTCCACATCTTCAATGGTATCAGGCAGCGGCTTGTTGAGTGTCTCTGGCAGGAAGCAGGCAAAGCCACTAGCCAGCACTGCAGCGCCCCCATAGATTATACTGGGTAGTGCAGGAAAAACCTGGGGAAATCATTTATTCAGTCAACAACATTTTTGGATAAGTTACTATGTAGATGATGTGATAATGATCATATATACAGGGAGTTCATTAGTCCAAAATAAATGAATCATTGAAGAGCTTAGCAGAAAAGTTAAATTGGACTTTACTCCATAAAGAGAGTGTTGTTGATATTATTATGACAGGATAGATTTCCAAACCCACTCACTTAATTAACTGAACCTTTTAGTTGATTAATGCTTGAATTAATTAGATACAATTAACTTCCCAAGATAATCATCCTACTGATGACTGATTGGACCTAAAGGGACACCAGACAAATTGGACCTGTTGAACTCTGTGGACTGAACTCGCCTTTATGTAGCAGCTGATGGCTAGACCTGTTGACACTGTTAAAATTACTTGGACTGCTTGATTCCTGTGGATTTAGTTGGACCTGATATCACTGCCTTAGACTTGTTGAATCTTGCAAGCTGAATTAAAGCTGAAATGACTTCAGACAAATCAGATCTGTTGGACTACATTGGACTTAATGTAACCTCTGAGGAATCTGACCTGGTGAACTCTTTGGACTGAGTTGGACCAGATGCACCTCTTCATGAATCAGACCTGTAAAAACCTGTGAACTGAACTGAACCCAATATAACTGCAGAAAAAGTTAACCCATTGAATTCTGTAGACTGAACTGGACTGTCAAATAAGTAGTTAAAGTAGTGCTGCATTATTACTGAAAGTCCTGCAGGAGTCGCTACTCTTCATCAATTCATCACAAAATCCACACTGAACACTTTTTTTTCTGATTCTGTTTGTACCAGATTACCTCGTCCAGGATCAGGACTGCTGGGGCCGCCATGCTGCCAATCCTCGCCATCATGGAGACAAAGCCCATTCCCGTCTGCCTGAAAATACAACACCCCTTTATACAGTATGTTCTGATCATCTCTACAGAACTAAGCCCGACTGGACTCACCTGATGACGGTGGGATAAAGCTCTCCAGTGTAAAGGTAGACGGTGGTGAAGGAGGCCGAAGTGAAGGCTTTACCCAGACAAGCCAAGGTGGTTCTTAGGGTCTGCATCTCTACAGATTTTAGAACCAGACTGGATCAGGATAAAATTGTCTTTGACTCAAATCAAAATCACATCACTCAATGAATCACTGTCAGAACCAAGACCGGGGTCAGATCACAAATAGGACCAGAAAAGGCCTGGGTCAGAATCAGAACAATATGGTCAGAGATCATCAGGATCATGTCAGAATTTAACACAGAATTTAAATAAGGAAAATAAGGATTAGAGATTCAAGATGAGTCATTTTCAGACCTTGGATCTAAAATGGGTCAGAATTAGAAACATGCAACACAGCATCAGACTCACTGGGGAAACCTAGATTGCAAATAGAATTTAATAAAAAATGTGGTTTAGAGATGTGATCTCGGATCAGGGTGAGACTCTGAAGAGGGGCCGGATTTAAGATAACACCTGAACCAGAAAGTCAATACCTGTAGGGACAAAGATGTTGGCGAAGATGATGACGGCCGACAGGAAGAGACACAACACTTGAGACACCCGTCGCCCCAGGTAACTGAGCAGGCCCAGAGCCATGAATTTGGCAGGGATATCCACAGCTCCAAAGATGATCTGCATCAGGTAAATACTCACCTGGAATGACCCACAGCCAATCAGAACACAGATCATTACAGGACACTACTGGATGCCAGAACTCGGTTCAGTCAGAGGATAGACAGGTAACCAGAGAACTCACCCCAAACTTCTGCAGGTCCATTGCCAAACCATAATATGCAAAACTGGTGGAGAACCTGCAGACAGGGGTCAGCACCAGTAAGGGTCAGCACCTACACAGGTAAAGATCCCTAACCCCAACAGAAATTACATCACTTCCTGAAGACAGGACACAAGTAAAAGAGGTAATGTTCTGACCAGACAGCGACCAGACAGATGGAGATGCGTCTTATCCGCCTGGTTTTCAGCAGATCAACGGCTGTAAACGATGCCCGACTTGATTCAATCTCTTTGCTCATGTGAGACTTCAGAACCTGCAGTCACATGGTACCAAAGTCAGACTGTGATTGGTCAGACAACATCTATTCATGTACTGTGAAGTTACCTCCAGGGTCAGTTTGTTGATGATCTCTGGTTTCTGATTGATCCGAGCAACTCTGTGGAGACTCTTTAAGGCCTTCTCAGACTGACGGTTTAGCACCAACCAACGAGCTGACTCTGCATACCACCTGACCAGTCAGAGAGAAATCATGAATCCTCTAACTAATCGAAAGAGAACGACAAAACTCCTGACCCATCAGAGAAGGTTCTGAGGTTGCACTGACCAGCTGTAGGCAAAAAACAAGAACTGAGGAGCACAAACGACCACCTGTAGCTTCCTCCAGTCTCTCAGCCAATAGGCAAGGCCTGCCAAGATCATCTGACCAAAGGTGAAGAAGAAGGAGGTGAGCGTTCCCACTACTGTCCTCGTTTTGGTAGGGATCCACTCCACCTCTGAGGACACAGAGTAAGACAGTGAGAGCTTTACATGTAAACAGCATCAACGTGAGAGAGAAAACAAATAAAGGATGATTTTTTATCATTTTATGCAACAGAAAAGTCCAACTTTCCTAACGATAATTTACATTTTAAAAAGGAACCAGAACAGATACGATATTATCACTGATCCATTATAATGGAGGATCCAGAGGTTGGCTGAAGGTCAGTGATGAAGTTCTGACCCACATATCTATTGGCCACTGTTATTTTAGCTGAATAACGGACCTGAATGGTGCTGACTAGCAGGTATGGTGGTAGACAAGAGTTCTCACTCTGCTTTGTTTTGCTGTGCTGCCTTTAAAGTGACACAACAAAATGTAAAGTTCTAGACACAAGATTTGGGGGAGTGGCGTCCTAGTAGTTAGGAGATTGGAATCCTGAGGTTCTGAGTTCGAGCCCCACTCCCACAGACTGCCACTGTGGGTCCCTAATTAAAGACCCTTAAAGGGCAGGTTATCCTCCTGCAGCAGTTTGTCACAGTGAGCTTGTTGCAGATATTTTTGATTTATGCCCAATATGGAAGCGTGGTCTGCGCTATGTTATTCCATGCCACAACGCCAGAGGGACAATCTCGAACTAGCTGTCTAGATACAGCCGAGTTCACGAGTCATTTTCTGCAATGGCGGTCATACAAACAAAACAAGCCGGTAAGGTACCAAACAGGAAATATGCACTGTGTAGGGCGGATGTAGATTTGACCATTCAGATACCTCCTGTCTGCGACCACCTGCAATTTCGAAGCGATACAGCAAAGTGTCTGCGGAAGGGACGGGGGCACATTTGCATTCACTGCAGACAACCCTGTTTGTGAGTATAAATCAGCCTTAATACCACACTGCCCACCCCAAACCCCCCAAGGGGATGGGTTAAATGCAGAGAGTTCATTTCGTTGCTCTTGTGACAGTGTAATGGCAATAAAAACTGGAGGGAAAAAAGAAAAAGATTCACAGATGAAAGTTCTGCATAGGTTCTGGTTTCAAAGGTGCGGTACAGCTGGGACCCGAAATTCGAGATGTGTAAAAACATTAAATGTTTACTGAGGGAGACTCCATTGAGGATGATTCCAGACACCGCCATCCCGCTCAGGGCCCTGAAGATACAGTAGGCTGTGTACGAAGGAGAAAGGGCAGCGCTACAACCCAGCACCGCCAGCTGTAGATAGGACCATATAAGGACAGTCTTCCTTCCAAACCTGAGAGACAGGGAGTTTGAGCTTTCAGGTACCTTCAACTGATATAAAGGTTTGACCAGGTGAGTCTTACCTGTCAGATAGGCCACCATAAATGATGGCTCCTGCTAAAACTCCACCCATATAGATGGTCTGGATCATCTGTTTGAGGGGACGCATTGAACAGACCAGGTCCCACTAAGAGAGTCGGGAGGAGAAAGAGGAGGTGTGTTGAGTGGTAACATCCTAAGCAGGTCTTAAGCATGAAGCAACATTTGCAACATTCAGTCCAGAAAGTAGAATTTGAACAGATTAATCAGAAATGGGACTATCAGGTTTTAGCTAGAGAAACACCGTGTGCCGTCAGGAAGCAGGTATGGACTGAAGGTATGGACCGAAGCACAGGCGTAACTTTCCTTCAGAAAGTTACGCCTGTGGGACAGTCCCCACCAATAATTTCAGCTTTTTTCCCCTTTCTACTCATCTACTTTAGCCAAATGTAACAGATGTTGGGTGCAGCTCTCTGTGTTTAGAACGTTTTGAGTCTGTGTTTTTTTTCCTCTCTCTTGCTGCTCCCGTGTCCTGACTCTCGGTGTAACATCATCGGATCTGTTGCTTTGAGACATAATATTATCTGCATTCGCTGCGCACATAATAGCTACATGGAGGAGGAGAGACACACAGCAGCATTAACCAGCAGCTACTTGGATAGATGTTTAATTAAAAGTTAGCAGATGGGTCTGTTAAATAAATTAGAGATGCCACTGAAAAATCTGTTCGTTGGACATACAGAGTTGTTCCAGCTAAAAAAGGCTCAAGACTGTTTTATATATTATATTACTATACAAGTTAGTATTATAATGCAAGAAGCTTTGGAAAACATAGTTTAAATGTTCTTCTTTACTAGTTAAAAAAGCTTGGCTTCTCAGAGGACCAGGTTAAAATTAACACGTTTTCTTATTTTACAGACAGAATCAGACTGCAGAGCTTCTATATATCATTAAATTTTGTTTCTAGTATTATATTAGTAAAGAGGTTCAAAAATCTTTTTAAACAGAGCATATAGAGAAATAACGAGAGCTGCAGATTAAAGGTGAAACAGATTTACTGGGATATGAAACATGCAATAAAATATCTCCAAGTTTACCAGAAAGTTTACAAGAAAAGATGCAACATATCCATATTTTTCTGGATGGATGGAGTTTAAATTGTACATTGTAGAGATGCATGATATATCGATTTTTGCATCGCAATCGGCTGTTATTCTTAAATTTTTTATACATAGATGTTTTTGGGCCCTATATACAAATATATTGCACTAAAAGGCATCTCTCTATCTATCTATGAATATAAATATCAGTGCATTGTGGTACTCATCTGTTACTCAGGAAAGGATTCAATAAATATATGTTTGAGGTTGTTTTGGGAAAATACAAAAACCTTATCAGTGTTCAGGTCGAGTAACTTTAGGTCCATCAGCCACCACTTGAGTGTCCCCACTAACTTTCTTTACCAAGTTACACCCTTGGATCACACCCTCAAATCTCCTCTTCATGTCGCAGACCAAATATTCACACGTCTTCTCCCACTGATCTGATGTTACCTCGGAGACGGTGGTTGCAGAAAACTCTGATTGGTCGAAGCTCCATCCGTCCACACATCCTTCAGTCTGCAGCTGGCTGACATTCAAAGAGCCGTTCAGGTGCAACAGATGCCACTGAGGCTCCACATACCTGAGGTAACACAGGAGGTGATCTCAGAAGTGTCTTTGTCACAATCAAGAAGCACAAAGAAAGAACTTGTTACCTCCTGCAGCGGTCAAGTCTATTTCCTGAAGGATCTGGAGGAATAAAGACTTTCAGCAGCTGCTGCTTGTCCACCTGAAACAGCCAATTAGGGCCCATTATTGGACTGCCAATCACAGTGCAGCATCTGCTCTCAGGTAGCCTCACAGTCCAGGTTAGGTTACCTGGAAGGAGAACGCCAGGTCGTCCAGGCTCTGATTGGTGACAGGATTGCAGTGATGGGTTGGGACCCCTGAGACAAAGTTGTTCAGTAGGTTCTGACTCGCCATCATCAGACCGGGTAAACTGATTAGGGTGACATGGATCCACTGGTACCTGCCAAAACCGCCCACCTTGCCATGGCAAGCAGACAACAGCAACTCTATTTTACACACCTGGATTGGTCCCACGATTACTGCAGAGAAAGAAGGCTGACTCACCTCTTCTAGCAGGTCTGTGAACCCCATCTCAGTGAGAAGAGGAAGGACCAGAGTGTTCTGGAGAGTTCAGGACCTTAGTTTCAGCTCCATCATAGCAAGACATCAAATCAAAACTCAGCATCAAGAATGCATCCCTCTGCCTCCAAAGACCCCCACACTGCCCAACCTGACCCACATTAACCCCTTTGTCCCCCTCAAGGAGGAACCTTTCTGCAGTTGCTGGGCTCAGCTATAACCTGAAATATTGGAGCTCAGACTGCTGAGAATTCCTGAAGGATTACAGAAAACAAGAGAAAAGAGGATTTTCTGGCTGTACTTACAGTCTGAAGGCTGCCGGGCAACTGGACAGACCGGACAGAGAGGACGGAGGGAGTTTAGGGGTGTGAAGAGCAGCAGAGGAAAGCCTGTTGAACATTAATGATTGAAAGGAGAAAACCAGAAGCTATCCTGTTCCTGATCTTCTCCAGCTCAATGAGTCTCCTGAAAGTTAATCTTCCATCAAATACAACCTGCTTTACTCTGTGCTGATCTGGGCAGAAAACCTGAAAGCGCCTCAATATTGTGTCAGAGACTGTACGAGTTCCAGCCTGTCCTGTCCTAGTGTCCCTGACCTCCTTCTCCAAGCCCTCCAAGTGTCAAATATGTTTGTTTTCCTGACTTTGCTCCTCACTGAGCTCTTCTGTGGACATGTTCATCCGACAGAGTCTCAGACAATAAACATCTCAGCTGGTCTCAGACAGCTGGACCTTAGAGCTCATGTAACATGGTGATAAGACAAGCAGAGAACCCTCAGCCAATGAGGACGTGGCAGGTCAGGTACAAGTACTGTAGGAAGCTGCTGAAGGGTCACCTAGAGCTGGTGCTCCTCAGACATTGCTTTTAAAACTGCTTACCTGCAGACAGGTGAGGTAATATGTGAAATAGGCAGGTAACCTGTAGACAGATGAGCTAACGGGTGAGACGTGCAGGTAACCTGCAGACAGGTGATGTAACGGGTGAGACACAGGTAACCTGCAGACAGCTGAGCTAATGGGTGAGACGGGCAGGTAACCTGTAAACAGGTGAGCTAACAGGTTAGAGGGGCAGGTTACCTGCAGACAGGTGATCTAACGGGTGAGACGGGCAGGTAACCTGCAGACAGGTAAACTAATACGTGAAATGGGCAGGTAACCTGTAGACAGGTGAGCTAACGGGTAAGACAGGCAGGTAACCTGTAGACAGGTGAGCTAACGGGTGAGACGGGCAGGTAACCTGTAGACAAGGTGAGCTAACGGGTGAGACACAGGTAACCTGCAGACAGGTGATCTAACGGGTGAGACACAGGTAACCTGCAGACAGGGGAACTAATACGTGAAATGGGCAGGTAACCTGTAGACAGGTGAGCTAACGGGTAAGACAGGCAGGTAACCTGCAGACAGGTGAGCTAACGGGTGAGACACAGGTAACCTGCAGACAGGGGAACTAATACGTGAAATGGGCAGGTAACCTGTAGACAGGTGTGCTTACGGGTAAGATGGGCAGGTAACCTGTAGACAGATGAGCTAACAGGTAAGACGGGCAGGTAACCTGTAGACAGGTGAGCTAACGGGTGAGATGTGAAGGTAACCTGCAGACAGGTGAACTAATATGTGAAATGGGCAGGTAACCTGTAGACAGGTGAGCTAATATGTGAAATGGGCAGGTAACCTGTAGACAGGTGAGCTAATACGTGAAATGGGCAGGTAACCTGTAGATAGGTGAGCTAACGGGTAAGACGGGCAGGTAACCTGCAGACAGGTGAACTAATACGTGAAATGGGCAGGTAACCTGTAGACAGGTGAGCTAATACGTGAAATGGGCAGGTAACCTGTAGACAGGTGAGCTAACGGGTAAGACCGGCAGGTAACCTGTAGACAGGTGAGCTACCATATCAGATCACTGATCTCTATTCATTCACTGGATTCCTGATAGCCGAAAAAAAGTTAAGCCACCGGCCGCTATATTGGTAATCCCCATTCCCACAGAGACACGCCATATAGCTATGTGTGTAGCATTTGGCTGCAAAATCTAGCAGTTTGCCAGCTCTGAAAAGACGTTTCACAGGTAATTTCACAGTCAGTGAATGTACTCAAGTAAATCCATATATACGGTGATGTATCCTATAGTGTAGTATAGCATTAGTCTGGCTATCTCAGACCAGCTCCAAGACATTGACTGAGTTCGCCATCGACATTGTGTCTAATGTTAGAAAATAGAAAGTAGAGTAAATAGAAAGTAATTTACTGGTAAATGGAAATATAGTAATTATTAAGTGGATAATGCTGTTGTTTTTATAGTGTTTGTTGTAAATTTCATTTGTAAAAGTAATGTGCTGAAATATAATGCATGTTATATTCTGGCGGGAAAAAAAGCAACTCAAACAGGCTAATATATAGACAGAGCATAAAAATATATGGCATCATTTATGCACAATTTGCAAATAGGAAAATACTGTAGCCTTAACAGACTTGTACTTGTAATTCAGACTTGATGTGAAATATTAAAATTACATGTAATATGGAATTACCACAAAAAATGTCATCAATATATATATATTACATGTACCTCATCAATTTAGCACTTTTGGTACATCTGTATTATTGTGCTTCATTAGCACATTTATTTTGTTGTGAGGGATTTGTATAATATGTTATATTACATGATTTATAGACTTCATTAACTTCATACTGACTATGCAATGTGATGTTCCTATTTTTCTAAATTAATCTACTTATGCTATGAAACGGAGAGTGTGTCAAGGTGATGAATTTAATTTTATTTTAAAAGTCCTAAGTCCCCCTGAAAATGAGAAAATCATCTATGCTGTCACGTACATATTGTTTACACTGTGACTGGTCTAACTAGGGAGTACCAATATGGTGGCCGGTGGCTTCACTTCAACCCTGAACTACCAATGGGAAATCAGCAATCCAGTGAATAAATAGGGAGCAGTGGGTGTAGATGTACTGCAGTCTTTTCCCGAGGAGGTTGCTCTTATTCCATTTAACGACCCCCTTTCAGAGACACAGACAGGTATTGGGTATTGCAAATTAGCAAAGAAGCCAAACGACCCCATTACAAAGGGGTGGACCCGTTCGTCCATTTTAATTTGCATGTTTTCTAAGCAAAAACAAGGCGTTGTTGGGCTACTGTATAAAGCTTTAAACTCAACGCTATTCCTGACATTTTGAATTGAAAAAGCGAATTGTCTTCAAACTCTTTAACTTCAATCAACTTCAAAGTCCAGTTGATTGTTTTTTTTTTTTACTTTTTTGGAATACATATTATAGATAATTCCTAGATTTCACATCAAGACTGAATTACAAGTACATGTCTGTTAATGCTATAGTATTTTCCTATTTGCAAACTGCATATTGCCATATACTTTTGTTGTGTCTGTGCATTACCTTTTAAAAATATTTACAATATGTTTTGTCACATGGCTTTTTCAAACGAGAAACGATAAAAAATGAGAGCATTACCCACTTAAGAATTACAGCATTGACATTTCACAGTGAATTATTTTCTATTTATTCTACTTTCTATTTTCTAACATAAGACACGTCAATGGTGAACTCAGGCAATGCCTTTAAGTCGGCCTGAGATAGCCAGACCAATGTTACGCTACATAAACAGGATACATTAGTGTACATATGAATTTTCTTGGTTTCTACATCCACTGAATGTAAAAATAACCTGAGAGATGTCTTCCCACACCCGGCAAACTGCTTGTTTTTGCAGCCAAATGCTACACATACAGGCATAATTATTGCACATCTCAGTGGGAGGGGAGAGTATCAAGATGGCAGCCAGTGGCTTCACATTTTTCAGGTTATCAGCAATGAAGTGAATAGAGATCAGTGGGGGTAGCCTGCGGACAGGTGCGCTAACTAGTTCTGTATGGGTGTCTTATCCCAGTGATACCAGGAGGGGGGGCCTTCTCAGAATAACCACCTTAGCAAGTTCCACAGGATGATGGCGCTCCCGTTTCCCTCCAAGGCTGAGACTAAAGTATCAACTCAGAATCTATTCTTTCAGCCGTTCTCAACGACCTTCCAGGCCAGATAGAATCTGAATTTTAGACAGGATGTCCAGCTGCAGCCATAAATCAGAACTTCCATGGATGTTCCGCCTGGGTTCCACTCTCAGGGCTTATCAGGTGTAGAATGGATCATGATTCCGATTGGGTTTAAATGGGGCTGGTCCTGCTGAAACAGGTGTTGGTTCTGAATGGCCTCGGTGAGTCTGACCCATTCATGATGACTTAGCAGAGTCTGTGGATCTTTAACATGGCATGAGTGAAAATTTAAACCTGGGTCATATACTGTCCCACTTTCCGCTGCAGTGGTTAAGGCAACAGAGTTCCCCTTTATCGGAGGAGCGGTTTGACCCCGTCGCCATGGAGACACTCAGTTGTTAGGTATATGAAAAGACCATATACACATTTGTTTTAAGTAAGGGGCATGTTTGATTTTACATTACCCTGCACCATAGAGCTACAGCCATGCACATGGCGAGTCACTGTTGCCATAGATACAACAGCTGCCTATTCTCGTTTATAAACCAGCAAAGAGAGGGTCCTGTTGTGGGTTCAATAGAACCAGAACAAATAAGAGTCAGCTCACAGTTTGGGTCAGATTTCATTTATTTACAGAAGCTAGCTGTGACCCTGAAAACATCACGACTCGTTCTGCTCGAACGTTTCGTGCAGTTAAGAGCAGAAGAAACCCGAAGGAGCTGGCATGTAGAAAAAAAAAAAAAAGATCACACCATTGTCTATACACACACACACAGGACTTTTTTTTCTCTCCAAATAAAAAAAATAAAAAAATTAAACTTTACAAAAAACCCAGAGCTGCTGACCAATCAGGAGCCTGGATGCTGACGCTCTGATTGGAAGAGCTTCACAACAGGGTGAGGAAGTCTTTGACCTGCAAGTTAAAACATGTCATTAAAACAGTTCAAGAAGAAGAAATGGTGCAGGAGCCTTAGGGAGAAGCTCACCTTTTCTAGGATGTCCTCCTGCTTGATCGGATCGTTCTGGAAGTCTTTATCCACATCCAGAACCAAGACAGGAAGGTCTTGGAGGTACTCAAAGTCCATCCTGAAGACAGAGACATGAGTGAGTGGCATGCTGAAGGTGGCGCCGTCATCATCACCCAAGCGTCTGTCTCACCTGAGGTTCCTGTGGTAGAGCCACGCCTCGTGTTTGAGGTGAAGCTGCTCCAGGTACTCCAGAGGAACGCCCTGCTCCTCCTCGCGGCCGCGGTGCAGCAGCCGCTGCATGCAGCGCTGCAAAACATCAACACAGAGCTGAGGTCAGAGGTCAGCCAGCTCTGAGAATCAGGGAGACTTTTTGTTGCTGTTCTAACTGCAGGCAGAGGGGAACCTGGGCTCTAAGTGGAACTCATGGTTGGAGAAGGGGGCGTGGCTACCTTTGGGGGGGCTCTGAGGTAGATGATGCCGTCCAGTGCGATGTCGGCCTCGAACTGCTTCAGCAGCCAGCTGTGCCAGTCCTGGTAGACGCTCCACTCCGTCTCCAGCAGGTCGCCACTCTCAAACAGGCTGGATGCAAACACCAACCTGACAGGCAACAGAATCGAACCTCAGACCCAATCCAGGACCTGGCAGAACTACTGCCACACATTCCATGTTCTGATTCCAGCTTACCTGTCTGAGTAAACGGATCGCTCGTAGAACTGAACCGGGTTTTCTGCCTGGAGTAGTTTAGCTGACGGAGACTGAAGCTGAGAACGAACTCTGCTGAGGCAGGCGTAGCTCTGAGAGAGAGAAACAGACAATAGACTCCCTTTGTTGGTCCAATGTTTCATTTATAATAAACACAACCAAATTACTTACATATACTCATATGTAGGTACATCCCAAAAGAAAAAAAAAAAAAGACACAAAGTCCACCCCCTCAAAAACTGACCTAAAACATCTCCACCTCCCCAAATAGAAACAAACCCATTCAAGTTGGACGACATCCTATAATAGGCAGACAGTAAGCCACCAGGCCTCTGAACATCAGTTCAACATTTCCCTTATTTTATTTCTCCTGGTGAGCCAAATTATCATCTTTGCCTGACCAAAAATAAACAGTTAATTATTTAAACTGTGTCCTAAACCAGCCAATCACTGGGTGAGAGAGAGACGGGTCAGGGAAAGGGAGAGAGACAGGCCAGGGAGAGAGAAAATGGCCAGAGGGGGCGGAGTCAGCCATAGATACCTGGAAGGTGTATGCCCAGCGGCTCGGTTTGTCGTACAACATCTGCAGGAGGTTCCCTCCACTCTTCTGCGAGGAACTCAGCTCCTGGAGACAGAGAGACAGTCAATCAGCCGTGGTGCATTCACTGACCAAAGAAACAGGTGGAACATAATCATCACAGACATTGATAGACCGTGTTGGTACAGACCAGGGAGAACACACATCCTCCGCTCCCCTGGCCAAGTGGAGTCCTCCTTGCTTTCTGACTCTTCAGACCCATCCGTTTAAAAAAAAATATTTCAATCCATTCTACAGCGTGTTGAACAGTAGTGCTGCTGCTGGTTTTCACGTTTATATGTGCACTATTGCACTACCTGACATCCATCAACATGATTGATATCTGTTCTCATTTATTCTATTTACTTTATTTCTAGAGTTCAGTTTAATTAAACTTAAAGACTAGTAAAAAGCAGAGCTGGTCCAGAGGGCAGGTAGGTTTCACACCTTTCAAACGATCCTATTGGTCAGAGCAGCACGCCGTGACACATGGAAAACATGGAGGACCTGGAATGGCTCCTCCTTCTCTTCTCTTCTATTCAGTCTTCTGTTCTCCAGCAGGCAGTCTGTTACCACACGGTTTTGAGAAAACAATCCAAACTATTCCTGTTCTATTTTTCCTTCCTTCCTATTCCTTCATCTCCGCACCTTGTCGCTCTCAGGAGGCGTGGTTTAACTTCTGGATGTAAAGAAGGCCCAGCTGCCATCCTCTTCCTCCTGGTCAGATTAATTTCCCTCCGTCATCTGACAATCATTCTAGATTATTGACTCTAGATATATTTAATGTTGCCTTTAGCCTCCATGTCCCAAGATCCATTGTGCTGCCGACGTCACATTCACAAAAAAATGGTCCAAATGATTGAGTCTAAAACTATTCATATATCAGGATGTAGGTGAAAGTTTGAGTTAAGCAAATTATTTTGTCTTTTAATGCAAGTTAAAATTAGGAAACAAACAAATAAAATGATTTAATCTTTAAATATTTCATTTATTTTTCCTGATTCAAAGGGTTGATGGAAAAAAAAAACCCATCAATTCAGCAGCTTTAAATGGTAACAAAGCTAGAGCAGAACAGAACCTCCATGCAGGCCTAAGCGGGTCTGGACCCTCCTCATTCTCACCTGGTAGATGTCCTCACTGTTCTGGACGTTGCACCATTTCCCGATCGGTTCTGGGATCACCTCCCAGTCCGAGGAGCAGGAGGAGGCCTGCAGCAGGCGGACGAAGGTAGATTTCCCTGCAGCTGAACAGAACAGTAACAGGTTAGCCCCCCGAACCGGTACCGGACCGTCAGCCCGCCCTCTGCAAGCTCCCCGAGTTCTGGTTCCTCCTGGACTCCATGGTTCTAATTTTCTTACCGATGTTCCCCTCGATGGAGACCTTCCGGTGTCTGCGTGAAGAACCACGGAGCCGCTTAGGAGGGGTGGCCATGTTGGGTCGGAACCAGCAGGACAAAGGTTCGGCTGCTTCTCTGCGCGCGCTGGGATAGTAAAAACCCGCGAGCCGCTTCTCAGCTTAAATGCCGCGCTCAACAAGCTCTACTTCCGGGGCCGGGCTTCTAGAGTCTACAGCTGCGTCTCAATTCGCAGGCTGCAGCTTACGTGTGCCCCGGTAACCATAGAAACGTCGCACTACCGCCTCCCGGAACTATGGAGATTTTTGAGTTGTTCATCTGATCCAATAAAGTTTTCATTTTCACTCAGAGGAAAACATTCTTATAAAGAATTTAATTAATAAAACCTATTGGAACCTTTCAGTTCTGACTGTGGAGCCTCTCTTTATGTAGAAAGAAAATAATTAGCATTAAAATGTTGAAATATATGCAATATCGTTAGATTCAATAATATTCATACATCCTGTTCACTCAAACAACCAGCTGTTAGTGTTGCACTTAAATAACAAACAAACAAAAAACAGAAAAAATACTGAAAACCAGAAGACGCGATAAAATATACCTTTATTTTGAAGTTTCTAAACTCACTTCCTCCTCCGGCCTGCCTGCTGTCACATTCAGAAATAAGCAACAAAACATGTAAACAGGAATTTTCAAAAACCAAATGTGTGTGTTTTACTTTACTCTGGTACCAACAACAAAAGATGTCTTTCTCATTTTGTTTTAATTGAAAAAATAAAAAATGGGAGCTGTAATAAACTTGTTCGTTTATTCTAAAATAATGAGTTCCTTGTTGTTGTTTCAGCATGTTTTATTTAACATGTGCTCTCTTAACACAGGTCCGAACAAAACCATCCCCTGCCATAAAACACTTCACTGTCGTAACATCTCCCATAAAGTGTATGTTGTAAAACACATTCTCTGACATCTCCCTCTTTTTTGAAAAAACAATAACACTGGCGAACAGTATCATCACTAATGCATACAGTATTGATTCTGCATGGCAACAGTAACGTCTTCATTTATTTTCAGTAGCCAGCCATTTAGGGCTTCGTCAACAAACAGCTTTGTATTATATCTACACAATATCAGATTTCCTCTAGAACAACTTGACCATAACATCCCTTACAGATCTAATCTCTGAACAGGTTTAACAACTCTACCTGATCTGGTTTGAGATAGCCCACTAGGGGTCTCCTTAGGGCCAGGAGAGCTACCTCCAGAGCTCGCCTGAACATCAGGTGTGTTAGGTTCCACAGATTGTTCAACTGAGGACCCCACCTCAGACAGTGCTTGGAGATGACGACGATTTCACCTGTACAGGGCTCCTTTCTCTGTAGCGATGACATATGACCTCTGTGTTGTACTCTCCCTAACCACTTCTGCAGGTGTGGACCAGGTCTTGTGATTGTCCAGCCTAGCGAGAACAGGTTTTCCTGGCTGCAGTGGTGTGAGCGGTCTCACACCATGTCGCTTATTGTAGTGGAAAGCTTGCTTCCTCTTCTCCACAGCGTCCTTAGCTCTGATGTGCTGTCGGTTTGGCCATTTTGGTTGCAGGACTTTATCCAGAGTAGGTAAAGTTGTTCGGATTTTCCTTTCTATTAATAGTTCCCCCGAGCTGACACCAGTGCTGCTGTGCGGTGAGGATCTATAGATCATAAGAGCCAGTAGTGGATCTTTTTGTTGCAGTATTCTTTTGGCTGTCTGCACTGCACGTTCACCATGTCCGTTGCCCTGTGGATTGTGGGGGCTGGAGGTCACATGCTTAAAGTCCATCTCATGGGCAAAGTCTTTGAAGACTTCACTGCTGAACTGTGGCCCATTGTCACTGACAACCTCTTCTGGTATTCCATACCGGGCAAAAGTAGCTTTCAGCTTTAGAGACACCTGAGCGCTTGTGGTGGCTGGCATGTGGAGAATCTCCAGGTATCTGGAATAATAGTCTGATATGACAAGAAAGTTCTCTTTTCCATGCTCACAAAGATCTATGCCGATTTTTCTCCATGGCCTGTCTGGGAGGGGTGTTGACAGGAGAGGTTCTTTGTTTTGTGCCCTCCTGTGCTCCCGACAGTACATGCAGTTCTCCACTTTGTGTGTGATTCGTGAAGTTAAGCCAGGCCACCACACCGAAGTGTTTACTCTCATTCTGCATTTGTTAAGTCCTTGATGACCATCATGTATGCGTTCTAACATTTCTGTTCTCATTGACCCAGGTATCACTATCCTACTCCCTCTGAGTACCAACTCATTATGCACAGACAGTGCATTTCTCACAGGAAAGTATTCTCTTGTACAGCTCTGTGTGTGTTGTATGTGTTCAGGCCATCCATTTTTAATGTACCCAATTACAACTTGGAGCTGCTCATCAGCGGCTGTCTCTGCTCTGATGCCATCCATCTTTGTCTGTGACTCAACATCTGTATGGCAGTCTCTGCTGTGCACCGTTCCCTACTGAGGGCTCCCGGACAGCATGTCCGCCACAACCAGTGTTTTCCCAGGTGCATATTCAGCCTCCAAGTTGAATCTCATCAATCGCATGAGGAGTGTTTGACAGCATACTCGAGTGTTATCAAGGTCTCTGGAGTTCATCAGTGGAATGAGAGGTTTGTGATCTGCAATCAGTTTGAATGCAGGCAGGCCATAGAGATATTTCTCAAATCTTTCACACGCCCACACAGATGCAAGGCATTTCTTTTCAATTTGAGCATACCCCTTTTCAGCATCGCTTAATCTTCTTGAACCGAATGCCGCTGGTCTCCAGTCTTCAC